CAAAGCGTTTGTAGTGCTACGACAGTCCTAAGTCTATGTTAAAGTATGGGAGTTATGCAGAGCTCCAGATAAGATTTAGCTCATGTCTGTATTTTTTTGGAGTGGGTATTATGAATGTTGAGTGGGTATTTCATTTTCCGTTACCCACTGCTTTCAAATATGTGCGTATTTCAGTCATTTTACTCACCTAAGTATATGCCATTGAGTAAGTTTACTAAGCAGGTATGTTCTGCCTTATGTCATACCTAATCAAAACCAACTTAAATATAATGGAAATGATTTCATAAAAAATCACTGATTCTATACTGACAGTACAACACTAGTCCTATACTAACAGTACAACTTGATAACAATCGATGTCTTTTTCATTACGCAAGCGATTTTTATAAATATATTCAGTACGCATTTGTTTTAAACTTTTTGCGTATCTAACATTTTAAATTCGTAATTGGTACGCAACAATTATTTGTCAATGCGTAATTCTATGCGTATTTTACCCGGATACACAGCTTATCTGGGCCTCTGGTTATGATCATCTTAGCTCTACAAATGCTTTGTGGAACAGGCCACTGTGCCTTATTATTGTGTCCTTATGCCATCCCATGTGTGTGTATGAAGCAATTCATGTTTTTCCACAGATTCAGGTTCTTGTCCATTTTCAGTTTACATGTAGCTTTTTCTTTCAAAACCCCACATTCTTTATTGCTGTTCCCACATGTTTGAACAATTGCAGTGCTTTTTCCAATTTTTCATTTTCTGTGTCCCTTACCATGATATTGCTAAGCCCCATGAAACCATAACCACTCGCCATACTTTCTCTTGAAAATTTAAAACTAATCCAATTTTATTCAAAAGTAATTTATTAATAATTCTTTAATCTTGTGTGGTAATCTAATGATTTCACAATTTAATGAGAGGGCGGTGGGATAGCCCAGTGGATAATGCGTTCACTCATCACACTGAAGACCTGGGTTCGATTCCCCACATTGGTACATTGTATGAAACCAATTTCTGGTGTCTCCTACCGTGATATTGCTGGAATATTGCTGAAAGTGGCGTGAACCCAAACTCACTTACTCTTCTTTCAAAATAATAAAGTCATAACAGTATTTTACATGACAGCTTTGTCATGTCTGAAGTAAATCATTTTGGCGTACTATGCAAGTATTTTTGTTGTTATGAAATGAAAAAGTACTGTTATGTGTCCTTGTTAGCATGTTAGATTTAAATATTTACAAGGTTTATGAATTTATTGAATTAGAGCCTGAAAACTACTACCATAAATTTATTATTAAAATTTCATTTACCTTTATGATTTTGGAGGCATTTTGTTGAATTTAAACTGTTCAGTTTATCTGTTAACACTATGAGACGGTCGGAGAGAGAGAGAGAGAGACGGTCGGAGAGAGAGAGAGAGAGAGAGAGAGAGAGAGAGAGAGAGAGAGAGAGAGAGAGAGAGAGAGAGAGAGAGAGAGAGAGAGAGAGAGAGAGAGAGAGAGAGAGAGAGAGAGAGAGAGAGAGAGAGAGAGAGAGAGAGAGAGAGAGAGAGAGAGAGAGAGAGAGAGAGAGAGAGAGAGAGAGAGAGAGAGAGAGAGAGAGAGAGAGAGAGAGGCTGTCTCTCTGTCTCTGTCTGTCTGTCTGTCTTGGCCTAGTGTGTTTGTATAGTGGTCAGCCACATGCTCCAGTCCTACATGATACCCCACTGAGCCACATTGTACTCACTCCGCCTTGTTTTTTTTCCCATAATGCAGAAGGTAATTATTTTCCATTTCTATTGCTTTCTTCCAATCACCGAGCAGAAGCTCCCTCAAATAAACCACAGAGAATGGTTGTGAAGCGAATGGAGATATACAATCAAAGTATTAATTTAAAGTGGCCTTAAGCATTATTGAACCGTTCCTACGTGTGCTTGATCAAAGCAAACACAGGTATTGATTGATTCATGGCCATTGATAATGACTCGTTTGCTGTATGTATTAATGTAATGTTAAGCTATTGATACCCAGTATAGATTCAGGTTACAAGTGACCTAGTTTTCAATCAAGGTGTGCTGTCCCCTCGTCGTTACCTTGCAGGTTTGCGAAATCAACTTGGAAAATACAAGGCCCATAGAACTGAAATGTTTTATAAAGATCCCAGCAAAAGTGGCTCTGAATCTATGGTGGCTCTAAAACTTGCTCACAGAATTCTGATCTGCTGATGACGTCATTATGGTATGTTAAGTCATTTCCAGTGCTTCAGATCAGTTCAGCAAGGCCAAAAAATGTTCTAAAGAAAATTTTGAAATTATGAATGTCCTTGTAAAACTTGATTTACTCCTAAAAATATTCTACTGCCATTTGTCTCTAGAAAAACCATTGCATTCCTACATGTGTCATTATGAAATTATGTGTTAAGGCAGTGTTTAAAACTCCCCAAATTCCAAGCTAGACAGCCGGACTGGTAACTTTAAAAAATTTCCAGTCCGGATACAAATGTGCCTGTCCCGGTTTTCAACAATGAAAACAAAAATCAGGTTTCTGAATATTTACTGTTTGCACTTAGCATCGCAATGAGCAACATAGCACTAACAGGCAATGCACCGAGTTTAGGTAAACTAATCCGAGATGAAAATAGACCGTTCCGGACGGTCGGGCAGGCAGGACTTTTAAACGCTGGTTAAGGAAGCATGTTTTGATAGCTGTTCTTGTAGATTTTACAAGAAAGCACACACAAAGACTTCATCAAGCTGATAAAGTTCCATAAATAAAAAGGGGTGGAAAGTGGAATGTATTCATTTGACACGCTGAAGGCCTGTGTTCCATACCTTGAATGTGTGAAGCCATATTAAACTCACTCATGTAAGCACTTGCTTGCATGTTTGCTTGCCTGTGCCTATGCACCCATCCACCCAAACAACCACCGAAAACAACCATCCTTTCACCGACCCACCTGACAACTCACTCACTCACTCACTCACTCACTCACTCACTCACTCATTTGGCACCAATATTGGTCTAGCGGTCGGCTGGTGCCTTTCAATAGTGTGGGATCTTTACAAAATGAAATTTTAAAATTTCCATAGCTATAACTATGTCTTATGCCTGAAATGGCAGTAGTACTCATTACTTGAAAACCTTTAAATATTCCTGATAACCTTTACCAAACACCTGGATCTCTTTGAGCTTTCATATACCTGTAGCTCGAATACCGTTCAAAATCCAACTCACTCACTCACTCACTCACTCACTCACTCCACCCACGCACCCAAACACTCAAATATTTACAAGGAAAACTTTAGTTTGTAACGCTAACATTGCCGAAGTATTTTGTACATACAATACCTTATCACCACCACGCCCCACAATCAGCCATCAATCAGCTGAACATTGATTACTCCTGGAAACGATACCGCAGAACACAGGTACCGTCTTTGCTGTAGTACACAGCCACACAAATATTCAGACGCATGTATGCCCCTCAGTTCATCTGTCCATACGAGCTGTCATTTCCATTGCAGATCTTGAAAACTGAAAAATACTTCTTCAGAAGAAAAGCAAGATCTATGGATATCAACTTCTTTATTGTGAATAACAAGTGTTTTTCACAATAAAGTAGTTGATACCCATGAATTTCGCTTTTCTTATGCATTCCACTTCTAAATGCCCTTCAAAGATTTGACTTTTTCACAAATCTTCGCACATAGATAGGTCTAGTTTGGGATTTTTGAAAGGTATATTTTGGAGAGTAAGGCTGGAAATGAGGGTTGTGCTCTTCACTCAACTCACAGTTGGATCTAGTGGTGGACTGGTGTCATTTCATAGCTTGTTTTGTTTTTTTAAATTAACAGTTCCAGTTTCCATGGCAATAACTTTGACTCTGACTAGATATGGCATGAATATCTTTTGAGTGAGTGAGTGAGTTTAGTTTTACGCCGCTTTTAGCAATATTCCAGCAATATCATGCTGGGGACACCAGAAATGGGCTTCACACATTGTACCCATGTGGGGAATCGAACTCGGATCATCAGCGTGATAAGCGAATGCTTTAACCACTAGGCTACCCCACCGCCCCAAATATCTTTTGACCAAACTTTGCTCGAAGACAGGTTTAGTGGTGAACTTGTGCCTTCTGATTATGTTTGGGAAATTTTTGTAAGTTTTTGTAGCTACAGCTTATATACAGTGAAAACTGGGGTAGTTCTCCTTTCCAGAGCACATCTTAGAAAAGTTACAATATTTCTTCATTTGGCAGCAATATTGGTCTAGTGGTCGGCTGGTGTCTTTCAATAGTTTGGGATCTTTACAAAATGAAATTTTAAAATTTCCATAGCTACAACTATGTCTTTTGCCTGAAATGGCAGTAGTACGCATTACTTGAAAACCTTTAAATATTCCTGTTAACCTTTACCAAAGCGGTTAACACCTGGATCTCTTTGAGCTTTCATATACCTGGAGCTGGGTAGCCTTGTAGTTAAAGCGTTCGCTCATCATGCCGAAGATCCGGGTCCGATTCCCCACATGGGTACAATGTGTGAAGCCCATTTCTGGTGTCCCCCGCCGTGATATTGCTGGAATATTGCTAAAAGCAGCGTTAAACTAAACTCACTCACTCACTCACTCACTCACAATAACGGACACAAGACCCTGTTGTTATAATAATGGGAGCATATTTTGTAAGTGAATTTTGTTATTTAACTTTTGAGATGCCCCTCCGTTGGGCAGTGGCCAGGTTTGGTGGATTGTAAATGGACACCACTGACAGTCTCAGTTATGTCCACAGTCAGATCTAGGTCAGATAGTGTATCTAGATACATTCATGATCATAGGTATTAATATAAAGGGACCACATAATATGTTCCCAATAACCATGTCTTTTCCTATGGTAAAAAACCCATGGTTTCAAATCCAAATATATCAATGACACATGCAAGTCCATTGACAGGCAAAACACCAGCGTGACTTACCCATAAACAAGCACTACGTCAGCTGTCAGATAACGTACATTGCGCAATGTACAACCCTGATTTATCTGCCCGACACACATAGCACTAGTCTTGCACGTACAGTAGAGCTAGAGACTGGGCGTTATAAGCATTGTCTCTGTTACTTTGGATTTATACAACATTTGTTTTCACAATGGCTGACAACAAAGCCCCTGGAGGGGCTGGAGGTGAGATATAGATTCATTTCAGAAAAAGACAACTCTGCTTTTGAAATTTTTAGAATTACAATATCACATGAAGTATTCTGTAAGGATATCAATATTAGTGTATAAAGATTCCCTCGACTTTGTCATTAATGGCTGCCTTAGCGAATATGATCTGATGACAATAATCACATCAAATATTTTGGGAACATATGAATATGTTTTATTGATATATAATTGAGGCCTGGACTTTGTGATATTCAATAAATAATGTTATATTAATTTTTAAAGATGGCTTAGACTTTGTCATTTAGCTGTCACAGCAAGTATTATTAAAGTTATTAAAAATAATGTTTGTCCCTGTAACATCAGTTTTATAATATATACAGTCAACCACTGTTTTGTTGAAATCTGATGTCAGGAACTTACCATATATGACTGTAGATAAGCTGAAGTTTGAGGATGTACCCATTTTCTGTCAACTACACTTCATTTCCAGGTGTGAGTAGACGTGATATGATAGTGATTGCTGTGAATAATGTAGACTGAATTTATAAGTATCGGAGGGACACATGACTTCACTGCTGTTAATATAAATCTTATATTAATCTGTTTTGTCATTTTGAGTAACATTAATGAACTAGATTATGCAAACATGACTCCAGATATGCAGAGAACATGTTTCTTACGAGATAGTGTAACAACAGGATTAACTGGCGTAATTCAATATTTTGTTGTCACTACATCTGATGACTGATCAGGACGAAAAGATGGACAAAGGTCCATTTTGATTCTAATTTTAAAGGTAATGTCAGGACCCCGGCTTATCGGTAACATCGGTTTATCTACCGTAATATGCGGTACTGATGTCTCGAAGTAAAAGCTTGGTCCCCGGATATTCCCTATAGTCAACCTTTTGTGGTTGTGTCAACCGTGGGAGAGCGCGTCAACCGTACCTTCAACTTCGACACAACTGAATATGTATCAGTAATGCTGATAAATGAAAATTCAAAAGAACCACTCATCTGACGGCAGATGACAAGACGGTGGTAGCACTAATATGAATACACAAAAAACACATGAGTGCACTTAGTGTTTAATGTCGCCCTGGGTAACAGTGAGTGAGTGAGTTTAGTTTCATGTCGCTTTTAGCAATAATCCAGAAATACCACGGCAGGGGACACCAGAAATGGGCTTCACACATTGTACGGATCTGGGGAATCGAACCCGGGTCCTTGGCTTGACGTTCGAACGCTTTAACCACCCCACCCCACCCACCACCCACCCCACCCCTCCCCATGGGCAACAGATGAAACTCTAATGTGCATCTGATAATGTAACCCAATATGTGATGTGGATGCAGGAACCCTCTTACTCCCATTATCAAACTCCATGATTGTATGCATAACTCTTCATGTAAAACACTGAGCAAACAGTATAATATTACAGCTATTTGGGGAAGCGGATTGAAGACCTTTGTTTAATATTTAGATGATTTGTAAAATTGTTTTTTGGTTTGATTGTCAGGTATATGATTTTTATATGTTGAATACACCAGCATGATTAGTATATTTCAAAATGGGAGAGGGTCATTCCTCTACACCACCTCATTCTATTTTACATCATGATTACGACAGTGTCGCAATCGGCCCAAATTGAATGTAAGTATGCAAGACCCTGAGATATTGCGCAAGGTAGAAAAGGTTCTTGGTTCCACATTATTTTATAGATAATTTCTAGCCACATGATTCATTTCTTATTGCATAATAAGTTTATCAATGGCTAAAGTGAATCACTCACTTCCTCTTTCGTAATCCGTTTACATCGGAATGATTTTAACCTCGTACATGTCATACATACCTTTAGCTGTAAGTGATATACAAAATGATATTATTGGGAGATGGTTTGTCTGTATATTTACAGGGGTTGAAAAATACCATTGCCCGATGCCCGGGTCAAGTGGAATTCTCCGGTCGGTCAAGTAAATATCCACATTCAACTTTACTGTGGTACAGTAATGACAAACTACAGAAACATTTTGATATATGTTTTGATGAAATAAAAATGCAATTGCTACCAATTGATAAAGATTATTTGCAAAAGAAACCAAATTATTAATTGTGGTCAAGTGAAATTAATATTTGGTGAAGTGGATTTTGAAAGTTTACTGGACCTGTGTCCAGTGGAGTTTTGAAAATTTTTCAACCCCTGATTTATGAAGTGAAATCTTATCTTGCACTTTAAATATTTGTAAGTTTGTTAGTCAGAGAGGCTATTTTTAGGCGTCATCTCAGGTTACTGTTCAACAAAAAAATGTTGCAAAAGAAAATGGGGTATCTTTCGCAAACAGGCTGACGTGTATAAGAGGTCAGGGTTTTGCCTTAACCTACAATACAAGGGTCCTACAGGACATATGACGGTCCTGTCAGTATTGAACTGGTGTAGAATGTTTGTGTTTATTTTATTCACAAGGACTATGTATTTCTTGGTTGAATTTGATACATATAATATATTTTAATTACAAAAACTCTGTATTTGTTTGCAAGAATTTGGCACAAAGAATATTATATATAATACAGGAACCTTATTTTTCCTGGCAGGAATTTGGTACAATGAATATTATTTTAATGACAAGAACTTTATATTTGTTTGCAAGAATTTGGTGCTAAGAATATTGTATATAATACAGGAACCTTATATTTCCTGGCAGGAATTTGGAACAATTAATATTATTTTAATGATAGGAGCTTTATATTTGTTTGCAAGAATTTGGCACAAAGAATATTATATATAATACAGGAACATTATAATTCCTGGCAGGAATTTGGTACAATGAATATTATTTTAATAGCTTTATATTTGTTTATTTTAATGACAACAAGCTTTATATTTGTTTGCAAGAATTTGGCACTAAGAATATTGTATATAATACAGGAACCTTATATTTCCTGGCAGGAATTTGGTACAATGAATATTATTTTAATGACAGCAGCTTTATATTTGTTTGCAAGAATTTGGCACAAAGAATATTATATTTAATACAGGAACATTATAATTCCTGGCAGGAATTTGGTACAATGAATATTATTTTAATGACAGCAGCTTGATATTTGTTTGCAAGAATTTGGCACAAAGAATATTATATATAATACAGGAACATTATATTTCCTGGCAGGAATTCATTATAATGAATATTATTTTATTGACAGGAGCTTTTTATTTCCTTTGCAAGAATTTGGCACAAAGAATATTATATATAATACAGGAACATTATATTTCCTGGCAGGAATTTGGTACAATGAATATTATTTTAATGACAGGAGCTTTATATTTGTTTGCAAGAATTTGGCACAAAGAATATTATATTTAATACAGGAACATTATAATTCCTGGCAGGAATTTGGTACAATGAATATTATTTTAATGACAGCAGCTTTATATTTGTTTGCAAGAATTTGGCACAAAGAATATTATATTTAATACAGGAACATTATAATTCCTGGCAGGAATTTGGTACAAAGAATATTATTTTAATGACAGGATTCGTTATATTTGTTTGCAAGAATTTAGTGCTAAGAATATTGTATATAATACAGGAACCTTATATTTCCTGGCAGGAATTTGGTACAATGAATATCATTTTAATGACAGCAGCTTGATATTTGTTTGCAAGAATTTGGCACAAAGAATATTATATATAATACAGGAACATTATAATTCCTGGCAGGAATTTGGTACAATGAATATTATTTTAATGACAGGAGCTTTATATTTGTTTGCAAGAATTTGGTGCTAAGAATATTGTATATAATACAGGAACCTTATATTTCCCTGGCAGGAATTCATTATAATGAATATTATTTTATTGACAGGAGCATTTTATTTCCTGGCAAGAATTTGGTGCTAAGAATATTGTATATAATACAGGAACCTTATATTTCCTGGCAGGAATTCATTATAATGAATATTATTTTATTGACAGGAGCATTTTATTTCCTGGCAGGAATTTGGTGCTAAGAATATTGTATATAATACAGGAACATTATATTTCCTGGCAGGAATTTGGTACAATGAATATTATTTTAATGACAGGAGCTTTATATTTGTTTGCAAGAATTTGGCACAAAGAATATTATATATAATACAGGAACATTATAATTCCTGGCAGGAATTTGGTACAATGAATATTATTTTAATGACAGCAGCTTTATATTTGTTTGCAAGAATTTGGTGCTAAGAATATTGTATATAATACAGGAACCTTATATTTCCTGGCAGGAATTTGGTACAATGAATATTATTTTAATGACAGGAGCTTTATATTTGTTTGCAAGAATTTGGTGCTAAGAATATTGTATATAATACAGGAACATTATATTTCTTGGCAGGAATTTGGTACAGTTAACATTATTGTGCGTTTCATTATTATTGCAAAGTACATTTCTGTGTCCATTCTGCATGTATGTATGCACTGGATGGACATTTCTTGCGTTGATAGAAGCATGGACATTTTTAAGAAACGGAAAGACGTGACATTAAGTATCAGAGAGATAAGGTGAAGTGAGGTGAAATTGGGTTTAACGTCGTGCTTGAGAATATTTCGATCATATGACGACGTGCATGCGTGTGTATGTGTATGTGCGGCTGCTTGTACTAGCCCAGACTGAAGCTCGTTTTATAGTGCTAGCCCACTGAGATACCATGCCGCAGTGAAGCATGAATACCCCACTCAGACACATTATACTGACTCTGAGCCGACCAGTCCTTGTTGTACCCATTAATGCCGAGCGCCAGACAGGGACCAACAAGTACCATATTTTAACGTCTTTTGGTATGACGCGGTCGGGGAGAGAGACATAAGGACTATCAAGGGGACTACATGTTTATATCGTCTTTAAGAAACTAATCTTATATCTGCTTACTGATTAACTAAAGATCTGAGAACTTCCCATAACAAACCCTGGTAAATGACCTTGTATCGGTCAAGTGGGAGAGACTGGTAAAGTGACCGATGGAATGTGGTGTCTACTTATGCACACTCCGGAAGGTCAAGAGGTATTTTGATAACAGTTTCTGTGTGTCTCTTGCCTCGTTGGATAATTATTTGAAATGGGAGAGGTTTGTACTGCCATACAATTGTGGCTGTCAAGTAGACATTCGCTAGTTTTTTTGTGCTGATTTCGGCTTCGGGTTGAAGTTTCTCAAAGCATCTGGAATGAAAGTCACTAGTATAAGGCAAGGGGAGCCAGGTTCAAGAAAACTGATTTCTGATTGGCTAATATTGATGTTTTAAACCACCAACCAAAGATGTTTTCCTGACTGAAAACAAGACATATTTTGTAATTCTGATTCTTATGAACAGCATGTTGGTCTAATGGTCTAAGCTGCCATACCCATGAAGATCCGGGTTAGAATTGATCTTCAGTAGCCCATGCTGGTCGTAAGAGGCTACTAACGGGATTGGGTGGTCAGGCTCGCTGATCTGGTTGACACATGTCATCGGTTCCCAATGGCGCAGATTGATACTCATGTTGTTGATCACTGTATTGTCTGGTCCAGACTCGATTATTTACAGACCTCCACCATATAGCTGCAATATTGCTGAGTGCGGCGTAAAAGTAAACTCACTCTCTCACTCAATCTAGCCTAAGCACCCAGGTCCCCACAAGGGTAAAAGTGTGCCCATTTCACATGTGCCCCTCACTGACTCACTCACTGACTCACCCACTCAAAACCCACTCACCTACTCACCCACTCACTCACCCACCCTCTTACCTACCCACTCCCTCCCTCACTCACTCACTCACCACAAACTCGCCTACTCATGCACTCACTCACTCACCCACTCGCAGAACTTCTGTAGCATGTTATCATAGTGTTATGGTTATCATAGGGAGAGAAATATCAAAATCAAAATACAATCCAGCTTTGAAGCTGGAGGTTATGTGTACACAAGCACCTGTTAATGGCCGTCTTGCTCGTACATGTACATATCAAACACAATAATCAAGCAGGATCACTTCCTTATCACACATTGGAGCTTGTGTACTGAGTTGGTGTATACACGCTTTAGGTCGTATTCACTGATCGTAAATGTGATAAGGCCAGCATGGTCTATTTATCCTGCCGAACCTATTTACCTCAAACAACATCAAGGTTGATTTCGTGCACACTGAAGCTTACTTTTTTGAGTGTCATTTTGGAAGCTGTGAAGTACAAAACAGACAAACTTCATGGATAATAAATGCTTTATTACGAAAACGGACATTTCATTACAGATTCTTGCACTGTTGTCAAGCAGGAACGCAGGAATTTCAAATCTGTATCGAAATTTCGCACCCTTGTAATAAATAAGTTGTTATCCATAAAGTTCATATCCATATTTTTTTACTGGCGTGATGTCACATGTTACTTTTAATACTTTCCTCTTTTCCCCATCCTTCCTTCCTCATTCCCACACACTCTCACTCCCTATTCTTTGCCAGTTTTCAAACCAGTTATTCCAGCGTGACATCATTCTATTCCAGTCTGATGTCATTGTACTCCTGTATGTGGTCGTTGCAGGTTTGGTGTTTCAATCAATCAGTCAGTTCACGTGGAGAGAGAGCACTCCGGAGAAGTACCGATAAATTTTGTATTTTACAGATGTCGGTCCGAATGAAATAATGGTCATCATGTATTCCATAAGTACTCCAAACACCTGCATGTAATTAGGGCTGTATATTGCTGAAAATTTCGTATAGCGATATATTGTGATACTCTCTACTGCACTGCAATATGTATTGCAATATATATTGCGAAAGAATAGTTATTGAGATCTGTCCACTTTGTAATATTCTTTTACGTTCCAATTAAATCACAGAACATGTGAGTAACCATTGTGCATTGTATGGCTTCTTTCAAAGTTAAGAAAGGAAAAACCAGAACATTCTTCCGTTTTTATTTTTATTTTAAAACTCAGTAATTTAACAGTAATTTATGACTCAAAAGAGTCAAAACTAAAATCCCTCTACCTCAGACTATACTAAATTTATAAGTTAAAAAATACAGTTTCAGCACAAGCCCAATTTTCTGAACACAAGCACCAGATAAAGGAACACATTTTGGATTGCCAGAGTGTATGCTGATACTTATTTCAAATTTCTATTCAGAAAGAGGAGAATGTAAACACTTAGCAGCGTTTTCTTCCACTTTTTCATTCGATTTCCGCTTTTTTAATCTGAAAGGGCACAATATATCGACCATAGTACGTTTGTTAGAGCCAACCTCGAATTCTGCATGTTCCCCATCCTCCATTTCCAAACAAATCAAGGGAGGTAACATCGTAAGCTTGTTACTCGCGTTACGCTGAAGCTGACGGTTTGTTCGTGCAGATCCATCACAGTGACAACATGGCCTCGGTAAAAAGATGAACAAGATCAGTTTAATGTGAGTTAAAATTGAACAATTGTTATTGGTCAGTATACCGGTACATCAGAGGTGTATCGCGATACGTAGTTGCTACAATTTTGTATTGCGGTTTACCGCTATACCAGTAATACCGTGCAGCCCTGCATATAAAGTTTATCCCTTTCGAATGACATTTGCATGAGTTGCCAGTGTTACATAGTATCAACACAATTGCAGTGCATGTTTTGTGATATGAAGCAATTATTTGATTTCTCAGGAGGGAATTTTTTTATCCCCAACCTAAAAAAGTCAGGGGTTGGTATGTAGTTATACCAAGGAATTATGTCTGTCTGTCTCTCCATCGGAGACTATTGGTTGGATTGTTTTCAAATTTGGGAACCACCTTCTTTGTGTAAAGAAGAGGTGCATTGCACATTTTGATTGTGATATGGGGGTTGATGATGATATTTATGGAGAAGCCTGTACAATGTGAATGACCCCCTAAAATTTATGTACAAAATCAATGACTCCCCCTCCCCTTCCCATATTTTTAAGCATAATTTTAAAATATTTTTATATACAAAATTGCAAACCCCCAATAAACATGTGTACAATTTTTTAATTGATGACCCCCCTACCTCCCCAGAACAAAATGGGTGACCCCTTTAAAATCATCATCACCCCCCTAGCCATAAATTATGAACGGTCCCTTATATCACAGTTTCATGTGGAAGGAAAGCTTGAAGTGACGAAGGTCTCTGGTGTTTCATGGAACCACCCACAAGCCCAGGTATTGTGCTGACTCAGCTTGAAACACACTGGGCTTCAAACAATCATGGCATGCCCAAGGGACCAAACTCTAACAATGAATTCCACTGAATCCATGTGATTACCCAGATACTGCAACAAATCATCCAACACAAGTTATTATATTTGTGTTGTTGATACTGGTTTGAAAAACACTGATAGAAAAACTCTTGTGGTTAGTGTTGGCAAAAAAATGTGTGTAAATTTTAATGATTTTTCTCCTACATTGAAATCATGTAATTGCTGTCAGAGGCAGGATTCAATAAATAATGAAGCAATTGCCTGAAGATGCTTTTATCACATATCATGTAACGTCAATATTTAGCTTTCAGGTCAGCGTAATGACATGATATGAGTCAGATAATGTAGGGCCAATGTATGCGACAACTATATGATCATGTTTCCTTCCTTCACTGGCTCTTATTTAATAATATCACCAGTATTTATTTCCTTTAAGAGGATGGCTGGGCAGCATGGTGGTTAAATCATTTGCTCTTCATGCCAAAGGCCCAATTCAAGTGTCCCCTGCCGTGATGTTGCTAAAAGTGGTATAAAATCCTCACTCACTCACTCACTCACTCACTCACTCACTCACTCACTCACTCACTCACTCACTCACTCACTCACTCACTCACTCACTCACTCACTCACTCACTCACTCACTCACTCACTCACTCACTCACTCACTCACTGTTCATTAGGCTGTGTCGTGGGGTGTAGAATCAGCAATATAGGATTCTGGTGTTTGGAAGGGATGTACAATTTTAAGGTGGAGGATGCAGTAGAGACCACCCTTTATTGGGAGCTCCATTGCATTTATATTTTCAGATAAATGGAAGCCTCATTATTTTCAGATAACAAGTAACAAAATAATAAAGTGGATACATTTAATCTGTGGATATTGACAAGCCATATACTTTCATGATTCCTGTTTTTCAGACAAAATGAACCAGCAGCCCCCAATTTCCATGCAGCCACAGCAGGGAGCATACAATGGTGAGTAACCTGCTTGTAGGCATACGTAGTAGGTGCATGTAATTATTTACTGGCAAACAAGGATAAGTTGGACCAGCGCAGATAATGTGTTTACGAGAAGTAGGCGGTGGCGGTGCACGGTAATGAGCAAACCCATTTGGTTTGTGAAAGGTAGAGCAGATGTAGGCTAGTGCACGTGCATTGCATGACGATGGAATTGATTCTGTGCATAGCTGCACACGCCTTGCTCATAAGACTCTCACGTAGGTGTAGCAAGTCACACTACACTTGATGATGGGCAACCTGGGGCCCCTTCACTCACAATGTTAAGTGCCAGTGGGCAGCACTCATACATGCTGATACAGGTCAATTGTCAGGTCGGTGCTCAACTTATCCTTGTTTGCTAGTACACTGTACAGCCCCAAGGGGAGTCTGTGAGGATAGTTCTCTATAGGGGTGACTATTGAGGGGGAAACTATTGCGATAGCGATAGTCTGTTGTGACCAACTATTGCAATACAATTGCAATAGTTTTTTTTCCCTTGAATTATCTCATTTGAAGTCATTTCCCAAATGAATGTATAGTTTATATGAAAACAGAACAAGCTGAAGTAGTTTCAGTCTCTTTTAATAACTGACAAGAAACTTGAAACCAAGATCAAGTTTGTTAAAGAGGTAACAGGGGCGGATAACACTAAATCAAAGTGAACGAATCTGGTACTTCCTGTATCTTGCGCTGCACATTTATCAACAGAAGTCAATTACTAATGTATCAATAGTCACACATACTATTGATGCATCAATAGTTTTTTGTTTCTACCATCGATTAATTGCTATTTGAGACTCAACAATTGCAATTCATGGATAGTTCGATGGATTGTTACAGCCCTTGTTCTCTATAGTGCTGGGAATTGGTCAAAACTTCATAATTGATGATTGTTTCATTACAACCGATCAATCATCGAAAATAATTGGTTAGCGTCAATTATGAGATTTTCCTGTTTTTTGTTTGTTTGTTTTTTTGTTAATGAAAAAAATTACATAATGAAAAAACATGTAGTTCTTTGGGGGTTGTTTTGGTGGCAAATTTCACATCTTGAAAGAATTACTACTTAACTAGTATGTTAGGAACATAAAATTCCTTGAGTCTTTAAGATAAATTCAATCATGACTTGGAACAAGCTTGTAGTGGTTACGAAATGTAACTTACAAAACCAACCTTGTGAAAAATATTGTTAATGCAAAAAGTGTTCCAGAATTGTTTGTGTTCGATTATTAGAAAACATGATCTATTGCTTGGTCGTTTAGTCACTGCAACCAATCTTCGATTATTTCAATTAATCGGCCCACCACTAGTTCTCTAGTGCTGGTCGTAAAGGCAATAACGTACTGTATAATACCATAGATAAGCCAATCTCATAGATAAGTCGACCCCCCTAACTTGACCCTTAAAATCAGTATCAAAACGGTATGTTTCGTACATAACAGGGTTTTACACAGACTTTGGAAAATGGGAGTCTTGGTGACTCACAGTGTTAATTTTTGGGAGTCATTTTTATTATTTGGGAGTCATGAAAGTTTTAGTGTCATATTTCTTTGTGTGAATAAAAAAAGCAAGATTTCTTTTGCAAAGATTTTGTTGTTTAGTGTTGTGTTGCAATTTATATGATTAGCTAATAAACAGTATATTTTTCACTGTTCAATTCAGTCATAACAAAGTCCAGTATACTGTATAGAAACAGGTTCACCCATAGAGTTTACCATCAATATACCTGACATAAATTGCAAACTTGTTTTGTATTGGTTTATGACTAAAACTCTCAGTTGCTCAGTTTTTAATATCTCAACTCCATGGAAAGAATTATGGACTTAAACAGATAAACAGTATGGGGTATGCAATAATATCTTGTCATGGAACAGTTAACTTTTAACCTGCCATATTGAATATGTTCCAGAATATGCCATAACTTACCACTTTAGCTTCTACAGCAATCTATTGCTTTCACTTGCCTCCACACTGATATTGCTATTGCTAGTTTATTTACCCTTGTACCATGAACCTTCATGATATAGGTTTAATTGTACTGTGGTAAGTTCATTGTGACATACATTTACAAATAAGTATTTACCTTGGACACTTTGGATATATTTATTTTATAATCAACCGTGGTATTTATTTAGTAGAAGTTAATCACCAGAGCACACAGAGTGTAGGGAACTCTTCCTACAGCAGCAGGGGCATCCGTGTCCCTGGACACAATTTTATTCTTGTTTTTCCCTTGAATTGTCTCATTTGAAGTCATTTCCCAAATGAATGTATAGTTATATGAAATAAGAGCAAGCTGAAGTAGTTTCGGTCTCTTTTGATAACTGACAAGAAACTTGAAACCAAGATCAAGTTTGTTAAAGAGGTAACAGAGCGGAAAACACTAAATCAAAGTGAACGAATCTGGTACTTCCTGTATCTTGCGCTGCCCATTTATCAACGGAAGTCAATTACTAAACTATCGATAGTCACACATACTATCGATGCATCAATAGTTTTTTGTTTCTACCATCGATTAATTGCTATTGGAGACTCAACAATTGCAATCCATCAATAGTTCGATGGATCGTTACAGCCCTAGTTAATCCGTGGAGATCCGGGGCAGAATAGGTCTTCAGCAACCCATGCTTGTCACAGAAGGTGACTATGCTTGTCTTAAGAGGCGACTAACGAGATCGTGTGGTCAGGCTCACTGACTTGGTTGACACAATAGCAATAATGTACTGTATAATACTGACCTCATAGATAAGCCGACCCCCCTAACTTGACCCTTAAAATCAGTATCAAAACGGTATGTTTCGTACATAAGCCAACCCCCCGCGATGGGATCCCAATTGCTGTCAACCAGACCACAAGACATCAGGCTACTGGTCCTCTAAATTAGGCTTATCTATGGTAATATACGGTAATATACGGTGATATACGGTAATATACAGTAATTTGGGTGACTGCATGTCATCGTGCCCTGATGGAGTGGATTGATGCTCCCGCTATCGATCACTGGAGTAATATGGTAGGGACTTAACAGTGTCATCATATAACTTGAGGTGTAGGGTAGCCTAGTGGTTATAGCATTCTCTGAAGACCTGGGTTCGATTCCCCACAATAATTGGGTACAATGTGTGAAACCCATTTCTGGTGTCCTCTGCCGTGATATACCGTATATTACCGTCTATAAGCCGAATTTTGAGGACCCAAAGAAAATGTCTGTAGAAGGGGGTCGTCTTATCTATGAGATACTATGGTATACTGCCGGAATATATGTTGATGGGCGGTGGGGTAACCTAGTGGTTAAAGCGTTAGCTCATTAAATACAAAGCAAAGCTTGTTGCTGTTTCAGTGTTTCCCAGCTGTTGTGTTTGTGTCATGGAGTATAAACGGTAGCAATTAAGAATTCTCAAATACCTTGTGTTCCCTTTATTTATATTTATGTTCTTTTTTTAAGGAATTGTCAGTTCCCGTTTATTTTACAGGTGCTCCTGGACAGTTGCCAGGTCAACCTGGCTATGGCCCATCCACAGGTCAACCTGGCTATGGCCCACCCCCAGGTCAACCTGGCTATGGCCCACCTCCAGGATATGGAGGTCAACCAGGGTACGGAGGTCAACCAGGGTATGGAGTTCAGCCGGGATATGGAGGTCAGCCGGGATATGGAGGTCAACCTGGCTATGGTGCTCCACCCCAAGGAAGTAAGTGTTTGTTTCAGGGTTCAACTTTAACGTTATTTGTACATTTTGGAATAATAAAGATTAACTAAAACTTGACATCATATCCAAACAGAATCTGTTCACAATATTGCAAATATTTAGTTATAAGCTTATGTTTATGACAATTTAAACTTTTCAAATGTCTAAGCATGTCTGGCTTATTACAGTGAGAAAAGGGAGACTACTCTCTGATTGTTCCATTATTAACCTTAAAGGCATTTCACACCAAACTTCTCTAAAAATAAATAATGCATTTCTCTCAATAATACTAACTATCAGCCCTCAGGGAAGCTACCATATAATTTATTACCTAAAAAAGCGAACCCCATAGAGTTATGTCCCTTGGAGCACTCTTTACAAATATCCTACACACAACTTGTAATTGGAACCAGTTTGGCCAACACCGACAGTTTTCTATGTACGGAGGAATTGTTTACATTCCATATATAGCAAGTATTCTCTGTTTGGAAGCTGTTCACCTCAAAGTTTCAATTATCAATCTCAGGCAAGTTGTAGGGGATAATATGTCTTTATTGCATCAATAGGAAGCTAAAGTGAGTGCATATGCCCAACATATGTAACACAGGCGAAAATGGGTAACAATGTGCCTTTAAGCAGATACTTGTAGAATGTTTACCACGTTACGCTGACATGGAGTTGTTTGAATGTATCTACTGAAAAGAGGGTAGAATGAACTGACTTTTATTGCAGTGATGCCAGGTCAGAGGCCCCCCGTACAGTGGATGTCGCGTCCTGAAGCAATCCCAGGGTGTCCTCCTGGACTAGAGTACCTCACCCAGATCGACCAGCTCCTGGTACAGCAGCAGATGGAGATCCTTGAGAGTCAGTACATTCTCAAAGTTATGGTGATCTTAAAAAATCTTGTGAATGTTCCAAAATGCGATGTCCCCCAAAATATTGAACTCTTTGTTTCCAAAGGCGGATCAATGACCGAAGGCCTGATTTCAATGCAACAGTTTGAATTTTAAAAGAGTTCTCTCAAATTATAATAGTTATGTTGAAAAGATTATTGAATTTGTTCATAGAATAAGATTCATTCCACTACAAGTGAAAAAGAATAAAGTTGTGTTGTATTTACCTCCTCTCGAATTTAAGCCCAGGGCTTAATTTCAGAAAAAATGTTTCTTAGATGAAATGGGTCAAATTCGAAATTAAGCCCAGGGCTTAAATACGAGGATTCCCGGTAGCCTAGTGGTTAAAGCATTGGCTCATCACACCGAAGACCCGGGTTTGATTCCCCACATTGGTACAATATGTGAAGTCCATTTCTGGTGTCCCCGGCCGTGATGTTGCTGGAATATTGCTAAAAGCAGCGTAAAGACTCACTCACTCACTATTTGGGAAAACTGTAGGCCCCAATACTAAACATGTTATGCGAGGTTATTGGTATGATTTTTATGTGGGCATTTAAACCTTCAAAAACAAAATAGACGCAATTCAAAATGCCTCTATATGAGTCAACAGTGAAACCTCTCAGCAGGTCTCAATTGAAAGTAGTTAATCTATCAAGATTACCGTTACTATGAGACAGCAAGGTATGTTCAATACTTAGGTACATGTATCAATGTTTGTGACTACTGAGGATTATTGTACTTGATTTCAGTGATAACTGGGTTTGAGACAGCTAACAAGTATGTGATAACGGAACAGTCTGGGTCAGCAGGTCTACTTTGCTTCAGAAGGTGAGTTTCTGACAAAATGTTGAACTATCAAAACTGTTATTCTTTCATAGAACTAAATCAATAGGAATTTATTGATGACAGAAATATCACTGATAGCTTGCATAAAAATATACCTTTTCAATGCTTACAGTTTGTTATCCCCCTCCGTCTGTTAAATGGACTCCGTGCGTGCGTCCGTCCGTGCACATTTGTCTTTTCCGGAGCAGAACTCTAAAACCGTTCACTATTTCTTCAACAAACTTGGCACATAGATAGATCTGGTGGTGTACTGGTGCCTTTTGGTAGTTTTGGATTTCTGAATAAAATATTTTTGGCATTTCCATGGCAACAAGTTTGACATATACTGAAATTGGTGATAGTGCTTCTTTCTGGAGCAGAACTTTAAAAACCTTTCAATACTCTCCTTCCACTTTTCTATATACACACCTAAATATTTGACATAATCATGAAGAGTATTTTGCCATTTCGGGGGATATTGATGACTTTGTCTTCTTGTTATAATTAAAACATTGTTTGTGCACTTTTATATCATCTCGGATGATTTGCTAGGAAGGATTATAACAACTTCAGATTCGCCACTCAAACCAAAGGAAAGATAACTCTAATCTATCCTTTGGTTTGAGTGGCGATGATGATGAGGAAAATGGCCTCTTCGAGATTATCAGCAATACTTTATTCATTTCTATTGCATTGATGAATATAATTATCCAGGGACACTTGCACAAATCCATCTTAATTCCAGCACGATTGTAACTCTAATACTCTAACAGAATTATGAATAGTTGTAGCACTAAGATTGCTTTGTGCAACTGGGCCCTGGCCTTAAAGAATTTTTACAACTACCTCAGTGCTATTGAGACAATCAGGGTGGTGGGGTAGCCAAGTGGTGACAGCATTCGCTTGTCACACCAAAAGACACAGGTTTGATTCCCCACATGGGTACAATGTGTGAAGCTGTCGTTGTATTGCTGGAAAATTGCCAATAATGTCATCAAACTAAACCCACTCATTCCTTATAGAGACAGCTGACAACTATTGAAATACCATTGCAACAGTGTGGGTTGACTAACGCTTAGTCCCTGAATATATATAATTTTCATAGTAACAAATAAACCCATTTAAATTGAAAAGGAGCCCCAGTGAGATGGGAAATTCAGAACTTGAGGAAATCTAGACTTGCTTCATTTAGGGCTTTAGCATTGCAAGGTGGGCTAGGCAGTACGGAAAATAATGTGGTTCAGGTACTGTGAGACTATAGTAGTGTGGGGCACCCTTGTAGTACAGTCACAAAGTTAAAATGGCCCCAGTAGTCAAGTTTGGGGTCAGTGTAGAATATTTTGCTTTCCGTGAGTAACCAATGCCATGTGATGCCTCATCAGGGAATTGGGCTGGTGGTGTAGCCTAGTGGTTAAAGCGCTCGCTCGTCACGCTGAAGACCCAGGTTCGATTCCCAACATGGGCACAATGTGTGAAGCCCATTTCTGGTGTCCCCCGCCGTGATATTGCTGGGAATCCATTTTATAAACACAAAGCAACAGATAGCCATTGCTAACGCATTGTATATTCAGCATTTCCCATCTACTGCCTGCCCTGAATTTTCATTCCAACGTAAAATAATATAATAATAAAAACTTTTCTTATCTTCAGTAGCACACTTATACAGGAACTGGTCAACTTGACATTTTTCTATCTACATTTATTGATGAATTGTTTCTGAGGTAAAGCAGATATATGTACATCATAAGGGGCAGTGGGATAGCCTAGTGGTTAAAGCGTTCACTCGTCACACTGAAGACCCAGGATTGATTCCACCACATCGGTACGGTTACAATGTGTGAAGCCCATTTCTGGTGTCCGCCACCGTGATATGCTAAAAGCAGTGTAAAACACACTCTGCATCCTAAAATAATTTAAAGACTATTACCAAGTGAGGTCAGACCAATTTTATTTCTTGTTTTATGGATTTTTGTCCTCAGAAAACCTAAAGGCAGGAGGGAAAAAAGATAAAAATAAAATGATCAAAGTAATATTCCTTCTAAATACTAAAAGTATTTTACTTTTGGGAATTTATGAAGTGTATATGGGGTAAAAAATAATTCTAAAAGAAGTGTTCTTGTAAGTTTACATTTTTGGCCAATAAAAACGTAAGGATTTTATTTTTTGAGTGGGGAAAATTAAATTTTTTCTTTTTCTTATTCTTGAAAAAATACGACCGGTGGATCCATAAATAAGAAACAAGAAAGTTTTAAAATTTTATAAAATAATTTTCACATTTAGTAAAAAAAACAATTTTTGTACTTTAATTTATTTATTTTTGGGTCAGTCCACTCCTGTTGTTTAAGGTTGAGATGAGAAACTCATAGCTAAATATGATTGGCACAATAGAACCCTTCATAAATGAAACTCTTTGAAATCTTTAAAATCAGTGTTAATTTGTACACCCTGTCAGCTGGCATGGCTATCACTATTCATATTTGTCTTTTCAGTTTTAACCAGTGATGCTAAAATGTTGAATAAATTGTGGTGGTGTGTGGTTGTCTGCATAGAGCTCAGGTCACAAATCAGTTGAAGTTAAGCAACGTTGGGCACAGAGAGTCATTTGATGGGTGACTGTGTTTGGCAGCTTGACTCCTGCTAATTTCTTGGACTGAAGTACTGCCCCACAATGAAGCACATGTGACACATATTGGCTCACCTTTGGCAAGTGAGTTTGTTCCAAATTGCCTCTGTTCACCCAGCAGTAAATGGGTACCCGGTGGGATAAGTCATATGACTATTAACCTTCTAGCACCTCACAGGCAGCTTGGGTTATCCGGGGTAATAATGCCCATCATGTTATATGCGCTTAGAGCATGCGCATTTGGGGTGGAGTTCAGCTATATAGTGGCCTTATCATTACATAAAGATATGAGACATTGGACTATTTTGATTTTTCAGAATCAGATACTTGTACCAGACAGTGCTGTGGGCCTCAGAGAGGTTTCATAATGCATATAACGGACAACAATAATCAGGTGAGCTTCAGCTGGAAGTCAATTATAAAAATTGTAATTTAGTGGGACAATTTGGTTTGCATCTGCCCTTGGTCTCACATTATTGAGAAACATATATAGAAATAGATAAGAATGTTATGAATGTGATTAACATTAAATGTAGAACTAGTGAATAAATTATCAACAATTATTTATCACAAATTTATTTTAATTTTTTTTGTAATGCTACTTTTTTGTTGTTGTTGACTATTTTGTAGTGGTGATAATGTGTGTTTATATTTGACTTTGTTTTGAGTGAGATTAGTTGTCTTTTTTTAAAGCAAGAATATTTTAAAAAACAAAACAAAAAACATTACAAAGAGGAACACACTATTGATAAACAGATGATCAATCTGGAAGCATGTCAGTGGATATTTTTCACACGCTCTGCGCATGCGCACAGCAAGTTGAAAAGTAATGGGAAACTAACAAATTTGTATGTTGTTGACACCACACTCACCAAGTCTGTAAATGATCAAGTCTGGACCAGACAATCCAGTGATGGTTGGTTGGTTGGTTGTTGTTTAACACCACACTCAGCAGTATTCCAGCTATATGTTGGCGGCCTGTAAGTCTGGACCAGACAATCCAGTGATGGTTGGTTGGTTGGTTGTTGTTTAACACCACACTCAGCAGTATTCCAGCTATATGTTGGCGGCCTGTAAGTCTGGACCAGACAATCCAGTGATCAACAGCATGAGCATCAACCTACGTAGCTGCGATACCATGCCATGCATCCACCAAGTCAGTAAGCCTGTCATGATCTACACAATTGGGATACAAGGACATGTGTCGACACATAACCGGATCCTGTTGGTCTCCTCTAATGACAAGCATGGGTAACTAAAGATCAATTCTTACCCGGATCTTCATGGGTGTTCAAAAATGTTTACTCACAAATTCCCTTCCTTATGTTTAACTTTTCTAAAAGCCATTCAATGACTGGTGTGACTCTGTTGTTCAGGAAGTGATACGAGTGGAGCGTGAGTTCAAGTGTTGTGCAGGGTGCAACTGCTGTGCAGGAGCTGACCGTTGTGCACAAATGTGCAGTATAGAAGCACCTGTTGGACAGCTCGTCGGTTACGTCAAACAACTGTGAGTAGCTTCTAGTGTTTTAGAACTTGTTTCACCCCGGCCATTATTCTTCAGAGTTCCATTGATACCATACATATGCACTAGACAGTAGACATATGAAACTGAAAAACTACTGTCAAGGTTGAATTCCAAAGAAACAAGATATAAAAAAGATAATACGTAGAAAATAATGCATGAATAAATCATGTTAATTTTTATTAAATTTGTGCTTTTGTTTTCATGTTTCACAGAAAGATTGGTCAAATGCCTTATAGTTTGGCATTAAGGAACATTTTCAGATCATTAGACTGAATTGTCTTACGATGGATAGGTATCTCAAAACTTGCCCACCAAAAACACTATGAAGTAGGCATGTGATTTGAGGTACAGCTTATGTTGCTATTTTGTATAGATGTACATATTGGCATTAGTTCTTAATATGAACTGAATTCCACTCACTCACTCACTCCTCCTCAGTCACTCACTCACTCCACTCACACTCACTCACTCCTCACCCACTCACTCACCTCCTCACTCACTCACTCACTCACTCACCACTCACCCACCCACCCACTCACTCACTCACTCACTCACTCACTTGTTTCTATTCCACACAGGCAGAGCTGCATGGAGCCTCGCTACGCCATCTTGGACCCCAACATGGAGACTATCCTGACCATAGTTGGACCTGGGTGTATCATCCAAGGTCCTTGCTGTACACAAGACCAGGAGTTCATGGTAGGCCAGGTTTTCACATGGGAGGCACTCATGTCAGGAAGATGACACCAGACTCACTAGTGAAACATGTAGCAACAAATCCTTTATTTTATCAAAAAAGTTTATGTATGATATCAATGACAGAATATTCATATTGATAATCATTAATAATGTATCCTATCGATCGTACTTCAGATTATCAATCTTTTTAGCCAGCCTTACAATGTACAGAGAATAGGAACCATTTGTCAGAGAATGCTTGCAGTGTAGAATAGGTCCCCACCTGGTCCCACCTGGTAATGTAATAATGCTTGAGGGTCTCAGAGGGGTATACGGAAGTTAATTTCTTAGACTTTCTAAACTAAATAAAATATACCTCTGAACTCTGAGTATTTCTGAGGAAGAAAAAAATCTGGCAAGTTATATGTGACTGGAAATCTGTAATGTCTTGTTTTAATGATTTGAGCGCACATACATTTTTGGTAATCTGAATGTCAATGCTTCAATTTATACACATACGACAGTATACTGTCTGGTAAAACCATGGACTGTTCCTTTAGGTATCATCGGCCAATGGGGAGAACCAGGTCGGCAAGATCTCCAAGCAATGGGGTGGATATCTCCGAGAGGCCTACACTGATGCTGACAACTTCGGTGTTTCCTGTGAGTTCCTGTCATTATTACCGTATTTCCACTATTAGATGACATACGTCCAGTTATGTTGTAAAAGATGTGGGTCTGACTTGTGGTTAAAGCATCCGCTCATCACGCCGAAGACCCAGGTTCAATTCCCCACATGGGTACAATGTGTGATGCCTCATTTCTGGTGTCTCCACTGTGATATTGCCGGAATATTGCTAAAGGTGGAGTAACAACCAACTCACTCACTATAGAAACCAGTGCATATTCTGATTAACGTTAGCACAGTGGCACCTCGATATCTTCCTAAATCCCAAATTCAGCAGTCATACAAAGGGACGTTTGCGGGAATACTGCCCAGTCTGGTCATTACCAGACGTTATCATTACCAAGGTTTTTATAACTCGCTAGTATGTCAAGATCGGTACAAGAATCTGTATCAAAACATCCACTACAGAATAAAAGAAGTCAGCTAAGTCAATTATCCTGGCCACTGAAGCAAATTAGAGCCTGAAGTGTATACTTCCTATGCAAATGTCTGGCTGAAATATTGCTAAAAATGGCAAGTAAAACCATACTCTCACTCACTCACTGAAGTGTATAGACTTTCCTATGCAAATGTCAGTGTGGGGAGGTAGTGGGGTGTCTGTTCTGGGGAAGGGGGGGGTCATTGATTTTGTACACATGTACAAGGGAGGCACTTACTTTGTACATAAACTTTGAGGGTCATTCACATCACACCCTTTACCCCCATAAATTATGGACCCATAGTGCTAGTGCAATAAATTGAGTTTTGTGAGTGATATTTCCGTCTCCTGTCCTGCAGTTCCTATGGACCTGGATGTCAAGATGAAGTCTGTCATGCTGGGAGCTGTGTTCCTCATTGTAAGTTCATATACATGGATTTGTCTTGGATTAAGACCTATTACTGCCCCTTGCATACAGTTTGGCATGAACCCATCGAAATCGTAGGTTAGCTTTGGTCTTCAGCAACCCATGCTTGTCGTAAGAGGCGACAAACAGGATTGAGTGGTCAGGCTCGCTGACTTGGTTGACACATGTCATCATATCCCACCTGATGCTCATGCTGTTGATCACTGGATTGTCTGGTCCAGACTTGAATCTTTACAGACCATCGCCGTATAGAAGGAATATTGCAGCATTAAACAACAACCCAACCAACCCAAATATTGCAGATCGATGCTTGTGTTGTTGATCACTGGATTGTCTAGTCCAGACTCAATTAAATACAGGCTGCATTCAGATGGGTGGAGTATTGCTTAGAGTCGCCTTAAACAACAAACTAACATAACAAAATGTATTGAAAATTAATGAGGATGAATAAAAAGTCAATGAATAGCTAGGGGATATCCCCAGGTGGAAACTAAAGTTGTTTGGCTACTGTTCCTGGAAAGTAGCAGCTGACCAAATTGGAATGGAATTCCAGAATTACTCAGACTTAATTATTTCACAGTCATCATATAGCTGGTACATTGCTGAGTGTGACGTTATAGAACAAACAAACAAACAAACAAACAAAAGGAAGAAAAACAATAATGATTATTTGAGCTGTTTTCAAAGAAACAAAGTTTAAATTAAATATCTTTTAAAATTTAAAATTTGATAATTATCGTCTCCTTTGTTCTTCTCTACAACAGGACTTCATGTTCTTTGAACACAACCAGAACAACAACAACAACAGGTACTAGTGGAACAACAACAGAACAACACAACATATACACGTGCCCAAGGATCTACACTGAAGGCAGCATTACCACAAGGAGGACGGAAAGGTCCCCGCCTAAAGTCACAAATATATTGGAACAATATGTTTTCCAGTAATTCTTGTAAATATCATACTTGTTGAAACCACACCAAAGAACCATATTTGTATCACCAAAGGATGCAAAAACATGTATCTTTCTAATTTTTTCAGCTGACCAAAAATCTTTGTTTTAGACTTTTTTTCACATTCATGCGTAAACGTATTAAATGGGCAATTTGAATATCATTTGACCAATTTTCATCAAGTTTGATGCAAAGTATCTTCAGGAAATCCAGCTTTGGTATGTAAACAATATAAAGACCACTTTGAAAAGCTTTTCCTATAGCCATTTGGGCAATATATGAATTTTGTGCTGTTTTCAATGGCTTACAGGGATGCAACTTATAAACCTGAATTATTTTTAGCAATAATAACAGTGATATATTATGACCCCAAATAACCCGAAATTTTAAGAGATCTTGTGATAAAGTGAGGGGAAATGGTGTTTAAGCTCTTAATGAAGATGATTACGTTTTGTAGTGATATTTGTGTGTGTGTTTGTGGAACACATGCTGCTTGTAATAGTCCAAATAAATGTCATTTTTTAAGTGCTGCTCACTGAGATACCATGTCGCAGTTTAACATGGATGCCCCATTCAAACACAGTATGCTAGTTGGTGTTGACATTGTTTTAATGGCAGCAACACTAGTTGACACAGTTTTGTCATCCTTTAGTAAATTCTAAATTTCGGTGAAATGAACTTAATACATTCCAGTCATCAACACCATTATCATTCCATGTCAGATATGAAGATTTATTTACAAGTAATCCTTAACAGCATATATGTTTCAAATATATAGTGGAAATAGAAACAGAATAGTAGGGGTGAAACAGTATACTACGGTAGTTTGCCTTCTGTTCGGTATACCGTAATGCAATCCAAAAATTCGGTATTTTCGGTTTTAGTACTGCATTTCTATCTATCATAAAATGACAGTTTTGTTCATTCAAAATAACAAAGATTGTGGTTATTTTTTTATCCATGTTATTAAACAATTTAAGATTTGGCTCTTGTTGTCAAATTTCTGCATTATGATCATATCTCATATACCGAACTGAAACGAACCGAACCGAAGGCCTTGTACCGCAATACGTATTGTACCGTGGTAAGACCGTACCGTTTCACCCCTACAGAATAGCACTTAAAGGTGAAAAAAGGGTCGCACATTATTGAATTTGGTGGCCATTTTGAAATCCAAGATGGCTGCCAATGGGATGATGGGAAAAATTGGAAACATTGCTTTTTACATTAGGTGTAGTGAGTGGTTTAATAATATGTATACTGTTGCTAATCTCCAATTTCATTGAACGAAAATACATAATACAATGGACATGAAAGTAAAATGTGATAATATACTTCTCTTTTACCATGTCTATTTTCAAGGAATAACATTGGTTTGTTGGTTGTTGTGTAACGCTATATTGCTTCTGTACTTCAAGTGTAGCAGTTACTCTTTTTATCAATTACTTTGACTGCTAGGTATTCAGATATTCCAAACAAAACTTTTGGGGATCATGAATATTTGAGTATATTTTTGGTAGTTAAAAATGAGCACAAAAATGTATATAAATATCAGGAAGATATTCATGATCCTTAAAAACATATTTTCTTGTCAGTATACACTTTCTCATTCATCGATTCATGTTAATATTGTATTGATTTTGTAATGAGTGTTATAAATATTCATGTTCAGTATATTGTTTTTATTAGTATATATTCACCCATGCATCAATTCCTGTTGATATTCTATGTTGATTTTGGAAAGAGCATTATTTACAAATGTTTGCAAGATGATGACAGTTAGGGTATTTTTATACCTTAAGAGCATTAGCTGATCACCATACATCGGCCAAAATACATGTTCATGACAATCTACGTGATAGTAAGTTAGATTCATGGCAAGAGGTGAAGTGATGAGAGAAGCTTACAGAGCGTCACACACATGGTAACAGTTTTAGATTCCACAAGGTTTAACACTGATAGCAATCTGTGATGTCTTTAACTGTTTTGAAAATTGTTTGCTCCACAAAATATCTTTATTACCAGTGTATGAAATAAGCCCAAAATCCAGCCAGACATCAGGGCTGGTAACTTCAAAATGTTACTAGCCCACAATGGATTTAACCAGACCAAATATGGTGAAATTACTCAGATGTATGGAACATCTAAAAATGTTATCAGACCATCGAGCTGGCTAGCTGTAAATTTAGACTGTCCGTCAGAAATCTAGACCGTCTCCGGCGGTCGGACAGGCCTTATTTCACACACTGTTATTATATTGTTTTTGTGACAGACATTTATTACCTTTTCAAATCAAGAAAGAAAATGAGTGTCATCAATGTTCATCAATGTTGATGTGAAATGCGTTATAGGGGGATGTACATAGTTTGTATTTTGAAGGTTTGTGTACTGTATGTTTGTGTGGAAATTACATCACTCATGTAATCTGCCAGTGCAGTTGTGACTTGGCAAGCAAAAACAATCAAATCAGTATGGCAGTTTAATGATGGTGGTTCCAACAATAACTGGCCACATATATAGCAACATTTGATGAGAAATGTCATTGTTTCTTTCAAATAAAACCAACACAATTTGTGCCTTAAGTTTGCAGCCTGTGATTGTAAATATCGACTCAGTAATTTTAGTTAATATTTGTCAACTAAATAACACTCTAATTGGCTGAAAATCATTACCTGTGTTCTCCTGGGTGAAGCAGAGATGTATATATATCATTGTGTATTGTTTTACCCATTCCTGTCATTGACTTACCTGTATGCAATCACTGTAATACAAAGAATATTGTAATATGCTTCAATAATTCCTTTGCTGTCCCTATTGGTTGGTTGGTTGGTTTGTTGTTAAATGCCACACTCAGCAATATTACTGCTATATGGCGGCGGTCTGTAAATAATCAAGTCTGGACCAGACAATCCAGTGATCAATATCATGATTTACGCAATTGGGATACGATGACATGTGTCAACAAAGTCAGCGAGCCTGACCACCCGATCCTGTTAGTCGCCTAATAAGACAAGCATGGGTGACTAAAGACCAATTCTAACCCGGATCTTCATGGGTTGTCCCTATTGGGGGACTTGGGGAGAGGAAGGGAGGGGGGCTTGCACTGTTGTCTTTGATTATGCAAGTTGTTGTGCGGGGCATGTATCGCTTTTCCACTGATGTATTTTCAGCATGTTTTTTGTTTGTTTCTTGTATCCAGCTACATGACATCAGTCTGTAAATAATCAAATTTGTACCAGCCAACCCAGTAACAGACATAATGAGCTTGCTTTACATCTACGCAATTGGGATACGATGACATGTGTCAACCAAGTCAGTGAGTCTGACCACCCGATGCCCATGTATTGGTTGCTTCATATAAATTATCACCCAGATCTTCACAGTGCTTTTCTGTAATAATATCTGAAGATATGAGCAAGAAACGATGGACTTCATTGTATGCTTACATGCTTAGTACATGGTAAAATTACTTACAGCCTGGTTTGGGGGTTGGTCAGGGAGCACTTCTTGGAGTAGGACTCTTAATACAGCAAACACAGAATTATAGAGGTATCATCATTCTTCACATGATGTGAAGCTGAGGGCAGGTACAGCTGTAGTCTGTCTCACTCACCTAACCATACTCTCCTTGGTCTAGACTACCAGTTGTCCAACTTCCATTTTTGTGAAAGTGGGAGGCTGAGTGGGTTAGATGGCTGACTTTGTGTGCTGGCGATTAGGTGCCTGACTCTGAGGGTGGGGGTTTAAATTCTGGATGGGAGTCAACGCAAAAAAAATACTAGAATCTGTACTTTAATGTGTAATCCCAAAAGTAATGTCTTACATTTGACCACTTTTTAAATGACATTGTGTAACCATACTGCCCCCCTACATAAAATGCTGTCTGGAATCTAAAGATCCCTACTCACAGGGGCTCATTTTAATTGAAGTGTATTTGCTTGTATTTAATAAAAATTGTATAATTTCAGAGAAAAAAACGTTAGTCTAGATTAGCAGTAGAACAAGAAGTGAACTATCAGAAATGATCAGTAAATGCAAGAGCAACAATTAAACTATTTTACTGTCATATTTTTCAGTTTGGATTGATATTATTATACATGCTGAAGATAATCATATTACTCAGATTATAATTTTGGCAGGAGGAGGCCAATGTATTTTATTTTTCCAGTAAATGCGGCCTGTGATATCTTTTCCCACTTATAGTTTTTGTGTATTGTGATGTAATTGTTGTAATAGAAACTTTCTATCAACATGAACATGTTAGACTGTAGTTCATTCTGATAGTTATCAACCTACTTCTTATTACAGGGATAGGTTGTTTTTGTTGCTAGATGTCTCTCCACAAATTTGACCTCTGCACCAATATTTCTGACATATGATTGGATGACACTGAAGGACAAGGTCACTTGATATTAGCAAGGTTTAACAAAAACTGTGCATGATTACTTTAGTATATAGGATTAGAATACATAATGGTATAGAATCTACATGTTTGGTTGGCCACATTGAATTTTGGGTAAAGGTCACTAGAGGTCGTATTGTTATGATCTTTTACTTCTTTTTTGAAGATGTGTTGTGAAATATATTTGATTCAAAATTGCCACTTAGCCTATTTTTGCTGTAACCAAGACCAATGGTTTCTGGCTTTTAATGATGTATTGCATCATTGAGCTAAGAGGCCAAAGGAAAATAAGTCTTTAGTCCAACCATGATTGAGGTTTATTTTGTGAAGAAATTCACACATTTTAATGAAAATGATAAATTATTTTGTAGATTTATTGTCAGTTACATGTGTCTGGCTTGACCAAGCTGAATTGGTGTTCATAAGCATTTAGTTTGTAAAACCTGGTACCCCTTGCATCCACCCTCTTAAACAAATTAACAATTTTACTGAAATCAAATCTTTTACTAACGGTAAAGGGTATTCTCTTTAGGGTATAGATGCTATAGAGGAGCACAACAGAATGATTGTGTGTAAAATATCCACAACAAATTATGACACTTTCTATAAGTGAACATTTAACTGAAATCGAAGCTTATTTTCGACATATAAAACATGGATATGCTGATCTGAAAACCTCAGCACTGATTGGCTCAACAAACTTCACCTGGGGCGGTGGGGTAGCCTAGTGGTTAAAGCGTTTGCTCACCATGCCAAAGACCCGGGTTGGATTCCCTACATGTGCACAATGTGTGAAGCCCATTTCTGATGTTCCTCTGCTGTGATATTGCTGGAATATTGTTAAAAGCAGCATAAAACCATACTCATTTACTGTTCAGAGTTCACCTGAGGTAGTTTCTTTAGGAGAGGTTCTCCTGTTACAGTGACAAGTTCTGGTCCATGAAATATGTTTGTGTGACCTTTCGATCTACCGCTTGCTGCCCTCGGTCTCATATGCAGTACGATGTATCAGATGCAAAATAGGCAAGCTGTTATATTACAATCAAAGTGAGGTCCTTAAAATGAGTGAGTGAGTTTAGTTTTACGCTGCTTTTAGCAATATTTTAGCAATATCACGGCTGGGGACACCAGAAATGGGCTTCACACCTTGTACCCATGTGGGGAATCGAACCCAGGCATTGGGCGTGACAAGCTTTAACCATTAGGCTACCCCACCACCCAAGGTCCCTTTAAAAGTGAAGTCAGTCTTTATTGTCTGAACAGCCAAGTCTTGTTCCACCCCCAAGATCCTGCAGTGTAAGTGTATTTGTGCCAGCTCCCAGTTTGTGTATAGGATACACTATTTGTGTCCTGTCACTCTCAGTCAATGAACACTGCTGTTAGTTATGGTGTGACAATTTAGTCTGTTTATTTCTAACTTCACTTCCTGATAAAATTCATTCCTCTGGAGAATTACATTATCTATACATATTTTTGTTAATTTTTCATGTTATCAAAAATCTATGTTATATTTGCATGTTTTCTGGTAGAATAAATACATATATG